CATGTCAGATTTAAGGACCACCCTAATGTACAATGTACATTATCAGTAATATTTAAGTACAGGTAAATTAGAATAGTTAACGAAAAAATTATAACTCTAATAATATTTATTACTCATTAGTCATTAGGATTAATTTGTAATCAAATTGCAGGTAATAGTAAATTTTATTGTCTTAGAGTATTTTTAAAACAGTAGTTAAAAAGTAAAATACAGTTTGATCAACCGTATTTTTTTAAACTATAGTAGATTAACTATAGTTAGTTATGACTGATATCGAATAAGCTATTTTCTTACAGCAGATACAGCATTGTTAAGAATGTTTAACGGCATGACGTATAGTTTTATGTCATTAAAATCTATAACTATACTTATTTTATTATTGTTGTATGTTTGATTAAGATCATCTGAATCTCTCTCTCTCTCTCTCTCTCTCTACGTTTAACGTCCGTTATTCCCGCCAATCGGGGCTTAGACGGTTTAGATTTGGCATTTTTGGGCTTAGAGCCGGCTGCCGACCTAACGCTACCAAACAAGTTGGCCCCAGAGAGATGTGCAGGTGGCCGTTTTTCCCACAGACAGTTTCCCGCCCGGAGGAACGGTTCGCCAGTGGCCGAGATTCGAACCGGCGACCGTGCGTTGATACACTGCCGCCTTATCTCACTCCGCCACGCGCCTGCACATTAAGACCATCTGAATAGTATATTGAATATTGTACTTACGCATTAAACCTAATCCAACTAACTTTAGACTGCATCACAACTATGTATAAGCATTGTAAAATGTAATTCAATACTCTTTAATAATTACTTTGAAGAATATTTTTATATACTTTTCAAGTAGTACCGAACACAAAAGCTAAATAAGAATACTTAGATAGTTTTGAAATTTGAATAGTTTTTGGCACAAATAAACAGAAGTGATAGTGAGATAGTTAATATAATATGTTTCCATAAATGAACAAATATTTTATTTTATTACGATAACAGAATAAAATGTATTTTACGCATGTACTCAAATGTGCTTTACAACACTGAATTAAGTTACATTCTGAAGCATTGACATTGAAACATGTACTGCGGTAACACGACAGGTAGTATACGAGGTGACGTTTGATTTCTTTAACTTATCACATGACTTACTAAGGAAAAAGTAACTTGTCAGCAAATAACGAATTAAACATCAAATGTACCTATACCAATAGAATATGCGCCTCAAGTTTATGTTAAGACAAAAACTTAAATTCTGATTTAACAGACAGAAACCTAAAAAACGAATGACAGTAATAATATAAGGTGTGCGTGACGGGTAAGTCAACACAGCAAATACAATCTTATGGTATTTTGACTACTGAATTATTATTTCTATATGCGATATATGAATTTATACGACGCTGCATTATATATTATGATACTGTTTTCACGTACTTATGAAATATGGTTTTAGAATTTATGGACCGTCTGTCGATTCCGAAGAATCCAATGCTTATGCTCTTAAATCGCCGTTTAAAGTAAACTTTTCTTTTCAATGAGATAAAAAATATGTTACTCCAGGGAGCGAAGTTGTTCTATATATTTACACTGCCGACCCAAAAGTGATAGTAACGAGCACGTTTTCATATGTATTCGAAAATTTATCTAAAACGTAAACATGACATAAGCAACACAATTTTTATCAATTCTCAACTGTCGATTAGGTACTATATTTGAGTCATGATTAAAATTAATCATTGACGACTCGTTGAAATAAAAGGTTCTATAATATTCGTACTATAATGTATAACTTTAGTTCCAAAATGTGCATATAAATCAGTGGTGGTACAAGCAGCCTAAGGGAGAATCACCTGAACACAAGTTTTTTGGTATTCATTTGTTATATTAACACAAAACATTCGACAACCTGAACGGTTCCCTCTAACCACTAGTTTGCTACATATTATTATAACTTAACTCCATTTATCATTCCTGTGAATCATCTTTTAATTTTAATGTGGAACTGAGACATTTTTTTTTAAAGTTTGTACAAACAATTTATCTCAACAATTACATAAATTAGATGTGAAGAATAATTAAACTATTTGCATACTTATTGTAAGTAATTATATTACAAAACCAGCCTAAATAATAAAAGCGATAACATAATTTATAACAAGGCGATAAGATAAATAATAGAGTCAGGGTATTATGAGTATTTAAAAAGCTGAGTAGAGAGAGAATAGCGTTCAAGGGAGAGGGAATTGAATATAATATAAGAGAGATTACAGATAGCTTCTTCAGTATGAATGGTACAAAATGGAGAGTCATTTAAGGATAATTTAAAGGCGTGGAAGATAACAAGGAATGGCCAGATCGTAAACGGCAGATTGTACAATTGAGTTACGGGGCAAATTAAGATTTTTGAAGCATGGATCGCGGGGGATGTTGGGAACAACTAGTTTATATTTATTAGCGAAATTGGCAGGTAAGTTGAACCAGAAATATGACCAGAGATTTTTTATTTGCCTTCGTGATGAAAATGGAGAGAAGTCAGACCAATGGAATTTAGAAAAAGATGGAAAAGTTAGAGCAGCTAGAGTGGATTTGGCTAATTTATTAGTAAATTCATTGTCTTGTATTCCACAGTGACCCGATGTCTAAATTAAGTGTATGTCAAATTTAGAAAAAATTAAGGAGAAGATACTTTTTTTAATTTTGATAATTTAAGAAGAAATATGCAATTTTGAAAGATTTTAATTTAACAAAAATATACAGGACATAGAGTCAGTGACAATCAAAATTTTAAAATGAGGAAGAGAGGCAATTAAAGTGAGAGATTCAAGGATGGCATAACACTCAGCAGTAAAGGAAGAGACGACGATGGAAGATTAATGGTAGAAGAGAATGGAAACCCAGCGGAAAGAGGCGAAATAGAACCATCATAATAAACGACAGTATAATTGCTGAAGTTATCATCAATGTAATTATTAAAAAGGGAATTTAAATTAGAAGTTGCAGTGATTTAAGAACTTGAATAGGAAAATATAAGGGATATTTGTCAACATAAACGTTAACTTCATTTAGAATAGATTCAAAAGAAGTTTCAAAAATGGAAGGATTAAAGAGTAAGAAATATAACATTTAAAGTGATAGAGAGTAGATATTGATCGAAAGAATAAGAAGAGTTTTGGGGATGTACTGCAAAGTTGAGTGTACAGAAAAACAAATTCTGAAAATATAGGAGTTAGTCTTAACAAGAGATTTGATTAGGAACTTACCAGCAAGCCATTGACATATTACGATAAAGGGGGTAGATCTTAGAACCCCGATGGTAACTAAAAGGCAGGAAATTTGGAGTTTGTTAAGTTTATTCCAATTTAGATTTTGAGGCTGAGCCAAATAAAAAAAACATCTTGGAGCGGATAACGGAGAGATAGAGTCTCAGTCTTGGAATCGTCGGTCAACTACGCTCTTTAACGTTTTATCATTTCGCATATCATACTGCGTTCAAATTTAGTGCTGGAATAGTAGAGAACCTCGGTACAGTGAAGGGAAACATCATAATATATTACATTATACAATATATTATAATCAAAATAATTTAGGGAACTCATAAATAATCTGTCGGCGCTGTAATATTGTGCTTCGAGACCGTCCGTCATGATTTCCTGCTATTGGTTGCCCATCGCATGTCATCTTCTAATGTCATACAGCTATTCACCGTCGCTATCATAATAACATTTCTGGGTGTATCGTTTCAACACACGTGACTATAATATGTAGGATATGAAGGATATAGTACCTCGGTGACAACAACATCCCTAATAACAATACGTCCAACCGAACGAGTCTCCGACGATATTAAATTTGAATACCAACCGACTCTACGAAGCGTAATCTAATAGTATATTGCGCTCTATGAATAAGTTCTCGTTCACGGCACCAGCGATACGTTTAAACGTTTTTGTCGAATGTGCGTGGTTATCAAAGTGGCTATATCCAGGAATTAACGGTTATCACTAGATTGGAAAATGTTTTAAAAAAGGTATGATATAACAAATATCCGCAGTTGGAAACATAAAAATAATGTGGACACGAAGAATGAGAAATACTGGTGTCATAAAACTCATGGAAACCGAGTTGTTAAAAATATTAAACTGTAGTTTTTTCGATAGTATTACCAAAAATTTGACTTGCTAGTCTTACTGTAGACAATAGCAATAATTAAAGGTAAAATTTAAGGACGTCGAAGGAGACGTCTTAGTTGCGGTCACAACAGTGGTTTTGAACTATACAGAACATTGTTCTAGAAGCTAATTATTCCATGGTATACGCTGATTAGGCAACATCCTTGTTAGATAACACTCGTTTTTTACAGTATTACATTTGATATTATAATATATTATTATTATAATTCGAATTTATCATTCGGTACTGTCTAATGTCAAAACACTTACCTTGTTAAATGCTAATTTTAAAGATCAAAAATAATTAAGATATTAGTACTTTTTAGGTTAGTTATAGAAACTAATATGTTCATTAAACTTTTCATCAACTCATTTTACAAGTTCATTTTTTTATCAGGCAATCATAGAGTGTATTTTCATCTTTGTCACTACTTTTTTTCATCATTATTGATCAGCTATAAAATATACCTTCCTATACTATCTATTCTGGTCCTAAAATTTTGAAAACCTTTAAAAACAATATTATTCGACTTACGTACATTAGCGTTTTTTATACTGTACATTAGTATTAGTAGTATTGGCTAAGTTTTGTTAAAGTAATTATAAACAGAAAAATTTCAATTTTAAACAAATCTTAAAAATGAAACTCTTAGAGATCTCAACACAAACCTACGACGTACGGTATTTCCAATATTTAAAACAAAAACAAATAAATTGTGAGGAGAATAGCAAGGTTTACGGTAAGAACTTGGTATTTCTAAAATTACGACTGTGTGATGTTCCCTTAAAATGAATGTATTTTTCAAGAAAATACAATTAATTAATTTTGCTTAAAACATACCTATCGATGGATATGGCCATCAGCGTGAACACGCTCGCGCATATGGAAACCACCGCAACGAACTGACTGATCTTGCAGTAAATTGTGCCAAACGACCAGTTGCTCGTAAGCATGTAGCTGAAGTTGACGGTAACGTTCAGAGAAGAAACCATGGCATCCGCTATAGAAAGGTTGACCAGAAAATAGTTGGTGACGTTGCGCATCCGCTTGTTGGTCATCACTATCCAAATGACTATCAGATTTCCACCGGTAGCTACTACGATCATTGGCACAAACAACACTGTCCAAGCGAGCTGATGCCACCAAGACAACTCGAACTGATTACTGTCCGCCCAATAAATCTCGTCGGTCGTGTTCATCCCGAATGCATCGAGTCCGTTTGTAGTGTTGTTCATGTGGGGAATCATATTGTCCAACGAGCGAGACCTGAAACACGAATAGAAATGTTTTCTTAACTTATACATAAATATGTAAAAAATGAAGAAGATAGATATCTCATTAGACTTTTTATGAACAAATAATTTTAGTTAGCAGTTCAAAAAATAATAAAGGGTTTTCTTGTTTGATGTTTTTGTTTTAGTAGGTATCATTAGTTTAAATTTTCAGTCTCCCCTGAATATTTTCCTACGGGCTGCCACCGTATCCGGCATACAATTTGTATCTTATCAGTACCTATGCATAAATATAGTTTTATGATATGGTGGAAGTAACAGTAAAATTCTTAAAATTGCTACTTAAACATAATGTCAAAGGGAGGGATAACTTATATTCTTATAAGAAAAATTAACACTGAAAAGTTTTTGGAACTAAGATTTCTAAATCTAAACATAAGAACGTGTATCAGATTCCTGGTTAGGAGTAAAGTGCCGATGATGCTGAAATTACTTCCTTTATAATTTGAGTGCTTTTAAATAATCGATTCTCGAAGATACGACACCTATAAAATAATATATTAATACTGGGGATTATTTCTATAAATTCCAGCGATGTAAACTGTTATTGCATAATATTATATTGTATAAATAGATCCAAACAAAAATACTCCTCAAACTCCATGTAAAATTTGCAAAAAAAAAAATTGAGTTAGAAAGTTGTTATATTAGTTTATAAATTTAAGGGCTAAGTAATATCATACACAATATTATTTTATCAAATCATTTTATTTGTAAGTCCGACACAATTTAACTTAGTCTCGCATTTCGCTGCACAGGATATGATTGAAATATAACAACAATAATAATTATACTATAGCGTGGACTCAAATTCAATTATATATTTATTTACAAAAACATTTTATTCGTTACAATAGTAAACCATTAGAATGCGCAGATTAATAATTATTATTGTGGTTTGGCGTTCGTATGCTCATCGAAATTAATACAGTCTTACAGAAATAAACAAAATCGTGCAAAATCTTTAATCATTTTTGTCGGATTATATAAAACAGAAACGTTATACGTGAGTATCAAAATAAATAATAAAAATTAAAAAACACCAATCCGAATCCGTGTAGAGTTTCTTTTGCATCTGTTCCGTTGCGATGTCCCGTAGCAATACAATTGCTATACTAATAGCGATATTTATGCTCAAAATCATACTAAAAGTGACGATGCCTCGTAGACTTATTGGATTTGGATAATTTATTTTTTGTTTAAAAGAAGAAGTTAGTGTAAGGAGTCCTCATAGCACTTCTATTTTCAAAATTCAAAATATTTACGTCATAATTAGAATAATTTTAACATGCCAATTTTTAACCCATTTTATTTTTTTTATTCGGGTACTTCAATCTAAAGCCGCCCTATGCGGACTGCGGGAAAACTTATTTTTAAACAAAATCATCAAAACCCGATTGTTTCACGAGGTGTCATTACTTTTCTTGTAGGGTAATTTTTACTGCCAAAATTACTCAATTGTCTCTAACTGTCTCATGTAACAAAAAAAATGTATATTAAGCATTTTACCTGTTAAAAGAAGGTCGACATAATCGAAACTTAAATTGTGTATAGTTTAATTTAAATCTTGTGCTAACAAATTTTTATGTTTTTAAAATAAATTGGACGTTCAAAACGGAACTATTTCAAGACCTTTGATTATACTTGTATATTATTATTGAAAAATACGTCTCTGTTTTTGATCTATAGAAAAATCTATTGTGCGAATTTTGTATACCTGTTCGATTGCCATATACGCCTCTCGAAAAGTCAGAAATACTATTGGAAGGTTTTTGTAGAAATTTCAAAATAAAACCATTATGGTAAGGAAATCATTTTTCCTGTTGCTGTCATGCCCATCAGACGATGTACTGCGCTATTGGCCACTTTATTGTTCGGCGCATACATACTATTTTTGTGTTTGTGTCAAAATCAAGAAGTCAATACGATGGGGACAACAAAGAAAGCCATATAGCAACGGTATCTGCCCGTAAGAATATAATATCTATACACATGTATATTATACTGCAGCTGTCGAAACCGGGTGTCGCGCGTGACATTTTCCGAAAAAGAAATTTAATGGTGAACGCTGGAGAGCAAAACACGATTACTTTCTTAAGTCAATACCGCTGATGACGTCAACGAGAAACGTTGTGGTCAGATTAAGCTCGACACAATTCGGTTAATTCAATATGATATTGTATATTTTTTCCGAATACATTAGCACTTTATTGGAGTAACACGGTTTATATACCGGGTGATTCTTTTATCACGAACCAGTCAATATCTCACTGGGTTTAATTAATAATTGAATTTTTTTTTGTATAATGTTCTTATAAAACGTGATCTCAATTTTTCACAATTTTTTTTTGTTTTTACCCCCTTCCCAACTGAGTTTTTTGATAACAAATTTTGAAACTTAAACGGTAACGTATATATTTTATTAACTTTTTAAACTGAGAATAATGTACTAAATATTTTGACTGGTCGATAACCAGTTTCGGATAACTATTTTTGAAGTTATTAAAGTTTCATGTTTAGGGCAGGAGGAGAGGTGGAGTGTATTTTTATTTTTATCTGTGCGCATTTCCCAACCGCACTTCCCCTCCCATCATAGCTTTTAAACTCGTATAACTTAAAAAATAATTCTCAGTTTAAAAAGTTAATAAAATATATACGTTACCATTTAAGTTTCAAAAGTTGCTATCAACAAAACTGAGTTGGGAAGGGGGTAAAAACAAAAACAAATGTGGAAAATTGAGATCACGTTTTATATGAACATTATAAAAAAATAAATTATTAATTAAACCCAGTGAGATATTGAATGGTTCGTGATAAAATAATCACCTTGTATATATATATTAATATATTTAATTTTCCATTACAACTAAATTACATTCTATGTTAATCATACAAAAAAGTTGAGAGTACTCAATATCCAGGTACCATAACTGTAACAGTCAACAAAAAAAGAGCAAATTTGTGTTTTTTTCCTTTTTTTATATGTTTATTGTTTTAGGGTTTAAGTTCAATTACTTGCTTTGCAATACACTGAAATATATTGTAACGAACGGTTAGGTAATACAACCGTTACAATATAATAATTCGTCATTAAAAAAAGTGTGTAGTAATAGCTTTAATGCTATCCAAGTGAAATTTGTATACGTTAAACGGAAGTAATACCCGGTTCAAAACGCACATTATGTCTTATACCGTAAAATTAAATTTATAATTACCAGCTTTTTTTATTGCTACCTTTTATATATTTGATTTATGAGTGTTTGTGGGTGCGTGAGTATTATTATTAAAAGCATTGCTGCGTGTAATGGAGAACCGGTACTCTAAAATATGTAATAAATTCGGTCACAAATAACGTTAAAAAAAACTGTTTAACGCATTTTTAACGCTTATGTTTTATAAAAACTTTATCATAACTGTTGTCGCATTTTAATCATAAAAACAAACATAATTCGTAGGCAAGTAATATCGACGTTTACTACATTAATATTTTTCTAACATAGATGACTTCGATACATTTAAAAACACAAGACTAAGATTGCAATTTATTAGTATAAATGGAAAACAATCATCATAAAAACCAAGTATCCGATACATCCTAGCATGTTACCGTAAGGATACTTATGCAGACATGTACTTTCAATAAGGTTATGTAGTGTTTATTTAGTTCATACTCAGACGCTAATGAACGCTAACTACGCATTTTTATTATTACATACGTGTATTAGTTATTGTTTTTGTTATTTTTCAGAGTTTATAATTTTTCTACCCTTGTCAAATTAAAAGTTAAATGATATTGTTCTTATTTTCAATCCTATCATATTGATAGACGAAACGTCTTGAGAGAAATTATTTCCTTTCGTGGACAGCGATTAACTAATGGAGGTATTTCAAATACAACAATAAATATCATTATAATAAAGAACTATGTCCGTGTAATTTCTCGAGGCTGGGACATACAATAAAACTACAATCGTATGAACATTTTTACTTGAGTACGTTTTATTGTACTTAAAGCATAACATGATAAATCACACAAAGCCCATGTTGTACGTGTAACGCGTTTTACAGTATCGAAATTGCCTTCTCGCCTGAAAATTGTTTTTAATTTTCACCGAACAACATTGACGTTCGCCGTCCATTGAGATAATGTTTGAATTATATTAAACAAGAGTGGTTAGCATGCGGGCCACGAATAAACACTAAAGCTCAATCCAATTACATCACATGAAACATGATCATTATTCGCCAGTATTCTCAGTAATACATAAAATTATAAATGCAACGCCTCTATCCAGAACGTAACTTTTATATTTTCGAATTAGCTATTGAACCAAAATTATAAATAATAATAATAATATTGTACATTCAAATATTGTTATAATCAAATCCCTCCAGTCAAGCACACTGATGACTAAAGTAGGAATACCTGGAATCGATAGATATAAGGTTACGTCCTCGCAAAAACGCTTTTGTAGGTTAAAAATAAATAAAAATACTTCGAATCTATAAACACTTAGAAGCACAAAACAAAATTTTAATTTATTCTAAATTTTTGGCAAGGTGGACAGGGGGTGGGTATGCATCCAAAGACACCACTATTAATTAAACAGGAGTTGAATTATCATTATTTTAATAAAATAAAAAAGGTTTGTTAATAGTTTCAAAAAATATGGAACTCTTTCGAGTAAGTAGGGAGAATCTCACAAATTTATTTCAACGGTATCCAGATGGTTTTCATAACGATCTAATACATAATACACCCTCGCCCCTTGTATTATTATTACAGAATATTATTAAGAAAATAATTTTATTATGATATTTTGAGCGCTTACTTTCCAAACCGGAATTCTTTTCTAGAGTCATAATAAATGACACTAAAACTTTTAAGTGTCTCTTAAAAGTTTGTTAACTATGCGACGAATGCAATATAAAAACCTCAAAATAATACAAGTACTTTGAAAAAATGTTATACTAGTATATACATTTTTATTTTTGTACAAAAATATAATTATTAATAGTATTATCTTGCTAATTCGTATCACTAAAAAATCTAAGTGAAGTAATATTTGTAAAATACGAAAATACGTAAATACTTATAAAGACAACAAGCAAATTAGTCAATCTAATTACATTTTTTTCATTCATACCAAAGGAACAAAACTATTTGTTCAAAAAAAAAACCCCTGAAAAGAAAAAAGGAAAGTAAAATTAGAGAATACAATTTGAGACATTTTCCATATACAACTACACTAACATCGTGGTATGGTTATTTTCGAAGCACATTCTCGCAATTTTATGTGTTATAAAATAAAGAAACAAAAATAGATTTTCGTCGAGTGATGCAATTCTTTTGTGGTAATATATTATATTACTTATAATATATGCCAGGGAATACATTCGGCATGCTTCCATTACCGGTTTCTACGTACATTTATATATGTATAACAATAACAAGAAGTTTCGCTTCACCGCTTTCTGATGAAAGTACACACTTTAGTGTTACTGGTTAGTAAAATTCACATAACAATAGTTATAATAAACAACATTAATACATCGGGGACCGTGATGCGTAATTATGATATTATGAATTTATAACAACGGGACTATTGCCTCGGTATTATACCAACACGGGCCCTTAGAATATATATAAATATTAAGTATGTTAAATCGCCAGAACCGGGAATGACGACTATAACAATATACACAGGGAAACAATAGATTCGTACTAGAAATTCTGGACGTTATAAATTAATCGCAGACGACTTAATAAAATGTTCATTCCGTCACATAATATATAATTGCGGTATGCCGTCACAAAAATACTCCGGGGAGGAATTAATTAATAGTAATTGTTGCACGGTAATGTTTATTATACTACGGTGAATAATAAAGTAAAAAAAACCTTAAGCCTTATCATCAAACATATTCGCCACATGAAGTATCAAATTTATGAAAGATTTTTTTGACGATTCTCTCGGCCGATTTGTGTTCTTTCGATTTTCGTTCTTACATCGTATTCTATCTTTTAGTAAGGTAACATTTGAAATCTTTTTGTGTATTGACACGTCACGTCCCAAAAGGTGATACCCGCATTTATCGTTGACTCCGGGGCTAGCAGATGCGTTTAATAAGGACAATTCGCCACTCCACGGGGATCAGTATTCGCACGAGACGAAACTGTTCGTTATACAAGCTTATAACGACGCATCGAATTTCCCTACGTTTTTTCACAAAATACTAGCGTAAAAACGCAAGACTATAATGTTATACAAGACACAGCTTGACGACAAAAGCATGCGAAACAGCTCGCATTACGTTATACATAGGAAAAACTACATGTCTAGCTAGAAAGGTTTGGGTATTTAATAGTATATAAATATAGTATGACAGCACAATTATGACCATCTAATGAGAAAGTTTCAATAAAAACTTTTCCATTTTAAAGCACGAAAAGTATACGAGAATTGAATAACTCAGTAAAAAAAAAAATATCGTGCCAAAGTTCGATGACGGATATTATGTTTACTATAATATAAAAGTTTTACCTTTTTAATAACACTTGAACGACGTTAATTCTGAGGGTGGTTTATCATTACTATTATCGATGAACTCTATAAAGTCAACTTTGAACTTAAAGGCCAGTAAAATTAAAGTAAAAATCAAAACAATGTATCTTAGGCCAACGAGCTTTTCTTAAGATCGTGGTGAACACTTGATGATGAACTTAATCTAACCTAACCTACGCGGTATATTAAATGAGAGATTCTCATTAATACTATAGTCGGTTACCGTTCCATATAATAATATGGTTGTAGCACGGTTACGTGCTTTATTCCCACAATAGCTTTCCAAAATAATAATATACAATTGTTCGTCTGATCTAGTCTTGCGTTACAACCGTCAAGATATAATATTGTCTTCATTATCCAACCTTACTTGAGACACATTTTGCAAACCGTGGGGTACAATTTCAGAGGTTAAGCGGTAAAGGTGCTGAGGTACATGTATGTTGTATGTATGTGCCTAAACTGAGAAAAAGATATATCACCCCGAAAATTAATAATCGTCGAATACCTGTCGCCAAATACCAAAGAGATTGCCGAGATTATTATAACACAAATTATATTGGCACCGCCAAAATTATATTAAATACGGTTGTGTACTAAGAAATCATAGTCTGGCAGCGTACCACGTATATTAATAATAGCGGTTATAAATTGCAATAAAAAACAAGAAAGCAAAATTAGCTCTATATGTATAGCCCAACTGTGCGCAATGTTTTTTTCGGAACTTCTGTGCTTAATCAACATGAAGTTTGTTTTAAATATTATAACACGACACTGTCTAAAAGGTTTAAACCAATAAAATAAGATTAGGAAGTATACTTTTATTCTGTTTAAAATTAAGAATCGTTAACATAAATGTAAAAAAATCCCCTTTGGCTAAAACTTAGCCACTAATTTACGACAACAGCTAGGATAAACACAAAAATAAAAAGTCAAACAGTAAGCAATCACGCGTAGATACGAAATACAATAGAACACATTTTGAGACAATAATTCACAAGATAATTGTTGTTATTATCACAACAGCTTATTTTATCAAGAGGACGACGATTTTTTTTCCACTAATTCCAACTCGCCATGGTATACATTATATTTATTCGTTAAATCTCGCCCTTTATATTTTATCGTTTACCACCATTTTACTACGTAAAGTCATGTATTAAAAACGTGTACAGACTTGTTAAATAAAAGCTGAATCAGCATTTTCTTTCATGTCGCTCGCAAATGATAAGTCTTAGTTTTCATTATAACAACTATCATGGTATTGTGGTATTATTTATCAGCGTTTTCCCACTATTATTGGCAATTTTTTTTTTAACTGGCTTTATTACTCATTAGGTTAATTTAATTTTGAAATCAGCTTTTTGCAGAGAGAAACTAAAAGCTATGAATAACCGATATACTTCGAATAACAATTATAAATACAATTCAACATTTAATCTAAAAATCTACTTTTATGCAAAAAAATATGTACAGCACTTCGTTAAATTTATTGTTAACAACGATGATCACAAATCTATAGAAGGAATTATTACTTTAAAACGAAATCAATGTATGAAAGAAAATAATAAATAGTTTTGTTAAACCACGTTATCCAAGTATTTGCTAAATTTGCAAAGTAACAATTATTTCGCGTTTCTTTTTTACATTGCAAATTGGTTTTCTTTATACTTTTATTTACTCATTCAATTTTCAAAAGGATATGTAATTTATAAAATATACTTAACGAACCGCAACGTAATTGACCTACTAACTCACGTAACATACAGCATACTTTTAAAACTTAAATAAAATTCTTTTATTGGCTTAAAAAAGTATTTTATAAAATACTTGTAAAAAAACTTTATTAAGAGAACGCTACCCACCCGTAATTTATCCACGAAAAATGGTTTTGCGGGGAACAAGAATGTGAGGGCGGTATTTAGAGTAGCCCTATATATTTTTTACAAATGATAGAGAAGAACTTTATCTATGGGGTAGCGTAGTTTTTTGATAACTTAGCACAATCAAAATTAATAATTTTTTTTTTCCTGTTTTAAATCGTGTATAAAAAAAATATTAAGTATAAATATCGAAAAAAATAAAACGCCACCCCATGGATAAAGTTATTTTCTATACGTTGTGAAACTTTGGTAAATTTACTGTTAATACTGGCCTCACATACTTGTCCCGCGCAAAGCAGTTTTGATCAGGAAAAAATTGTAATTTATCTTATAGAAAATTGCCTATACATTAATCCTTAGAAATGGCCTGGGTAGCGTCCTCTTAAGTGCACCTATTTTAGAATGGGTCGCATAAAATCAGTTTTGTGGTTATAATTTAACAACTGTTTAAGCACTTATGTTAGACAAACGATATTTTAAAATAATAGGTACCTAGTATTTTAATTGTTTTTATGGTAATAGTTATCATAATATTTCCTAGTTATTTTAATTCATGTTTCCATGACCTTAATATGTCTATTATATACTATGAAAGGTCTTAATAACTAAAAACGATAACGGTAAAAAATATATTTACCAATAGGCCGTAGAATTTTTCTCGAGATCCAAGAGTATTTGTTTCAAGTAAATTTAGGAAGACATGTAAAAAGCTTAAATGTCTAGATAAGGTTTTATGTTTGCACCCACAAATACAAATTGACTATTCTTTGTGTAAAAAGCATATATTCTTGTTTCTGAAATAAAATAAAGCAGTTATGAGAATCCTTTATTGGTTATTAATTTTTTTAACAGACTATCTTACTTTTCTGAACAACGGTTTATAAATTATAATACATCGATTGGATATGAATGTGTTTTATTAATATTATTTTCCAACAGTTTAAATAAAATAGTCAATATTTAAAATAATATACTATAATGTAAATAAAAAATGCACAATTTTATGTATAAAAGTTGTATATTACAAAATATGCACACTAACCATTTTTTTTAACTAACCAGGAAAAACAGGAGGACTTTCTTGATTTTTAATTTTTGGAGAATTATTTAAAACATATCTTTTATTATTTAACAATTAATTGAAAACGTATAAAAATGTATGCGGGAAAATGTGTTTTCATGAAATTTTACAACTTGAAAGCTCTATTGTTACTTAACTTTATCGATTAAAATCCTAAAACTGTTCACTGCACTTCTACATGCCAATGTGATTCTAATAGGACCCTAAATAACCTAACCGTTTACCAGTTTCAGAGATCTGCTTAGCTAAAGAAAAATGCTTAACAATTGTAAAACAATTTAAATAATTTTTTTTTTTAAATCATCTTTTGTATTTTCTTGACAAGTTCTTTCTAATGATTGTTGAATCAACTTTCTATCTTTTATAGTTTAGGAGAAAACTGAAAATTAAGCATTTTTAAGATGTAACAAACTTTTTTTCAAATTAAAAACATCGTACCGCATAGGTATGAAATCCGATCTATCTGTTTATTATCTTATATAAAAATTAAGACAAATACCTATCTTCTCATTGTTAGTGCGTAGCATATTTTTTTTTTCCTATTCACAAAAAGCTCTTAAACTTATCAACAATTTTTTTTAATTCCAATTACTATACTTACTTGATTTTTTAGTTATCAAGAAATTGCAAATATGTCGATTACGTCTATAAAAAAATCGCATTTACATATTTCTCTTGGTAACATTATGTTTATAATTACCTCACCTAACCTTAGTTGTTATTGTTATTACAAAGGTACAAAGGTGAACGAATGACCGAGTAGGGCTTCAGTGTGTTTGACGCTAACTGTCGCTGGTTTGACCTAATTATTTTTTATCTTGTTAAGCTAGGAAAATACCCATTTTAAGGAAATGGTCAAAGTACAAAAACCGAATAGTTTTTAAAAAAAATATTGTTTTATTTTGATATTAAACCTGAATCAAAAAACTCTAAAACAGTATATTATAGTGTCACGTAAATGTTATTACGTATACAAATTCTGTCTATAATTGCGCTAAAATATCTTTGTTTATAATATTGCCATTCGATTTATCTTTAGTATAGCTTTAGGGTTTAGTAGATATATGACATAAATTTCAACGGTCTGGTTTTGGGGAAAAATTGAAGTTTCCATTGTAAATCATCAAAAGCTACTGCTGATAGTAAGATAACGTCATAATGTTAGCTATTATTGCCATCATCATACATATTACTCAAGCATAATAATATCATTATTTTTATACATTTTTAGGTTTATTAATATTCCTGTCTATGCCTTAAAATAAATTATAAATTATCTATGTTACACTGATAAAATAAGAAAATTATCAACAAGAATCATAATAAATAAAATTATAAAGAAATAATTATCATATAAGAAATTAAAACAAAAATGTTGAGTATTAAACTATTTATTGTACCGTATTGTAAAAACATTAAAATCTGCATAAAAGTATAATTCTGATAAAAATAACCAAACTACTCAATACATAATATTTCAATTCTTATATACAGCTAGTATGATAATAATTAAATTATTTTATTTATAATTGAGCGTCAATTTAAAATTGATAGACCATTTCAGTTGTTATTTGGACATATTCAATGGAAAAAATAGGTAGAAAGAAGAAGCTGACAACAGTATATATTACTATGCTGTAATATATACAGTACAGGTCTATAAACGTTAAGTTCTTGTACAAGCTCCTTCAATGTTTACAATACAGTATCGTACATTTTGATAAAGTTAAAAGTAAGAGTAGTTGATATGACAAAGGTCCTGGGTAAACAATTCGATACGGTTTTCCCGCATACGTATGAGTACAGAATGTCGCGTGTCCAAGTATCATTCATCAATGTCGTAAGTAATAAATGATTAAACTCGATGGAAAACAGTTTGAACCAATTAATAAGCTATAACGGAGGTCATGGCAAAATTATTTTGTCATTATCCAACCTCTCTATCATATCGTGTAAACGCATAAATAATACACCTAGCGACGAGGCTGGGCATTACCGTTCATCCCAAACTCTATAGCAAAATATATTAAATGCAGTGTTACCCTCTTTGCAATTGAAAACACATTTTTTACACAACCCTCCAAAGTAACTGTTAATGATTTCAATTACCCAAATTTTACACGTTACCGTAACTTTCACATTAAACATATTAAAGGATAATAATTTAAGTACTTCATTTTTACTCCTGTTCAATCGCCAATAACTCTGACTTGCCGTCTCATCTCACTTGTCTCCCTCTGCGGGCTAGGACCATTCAAGCACATCATCGTCGCATTATAAAAGCTTTTGATATTCTCCTTGTTATCCTCGGTGATTTATGGTCAAATAACATTAACCCTGATTCGTGATTCTTGAAGACACTTCGTAGTTTATCCGCTACCAAAACCATTAGCGAATACTCCGTTTCTGCCGTTTCTTTAAAGTAACACCGATTATGTTAGAAAATCGCTTAGACCGATATCTTGAATCAAACTAGCAGAATTTCCAATAATCTTTTTGGTTATTAACGTGTTTAAATGTGTACTATAGATAGGCATCACCAGCTTAGCTTTCAGCAGCATTATTGTCTGTATTTCTAAACTTTACAATGATAAATCTATTATGAAATCTAATATAAGGAACGTCAAATCACGGATATGTTGTAGGTTAGAATTGCCAGACGAGGCGTTATTAAATATTTATTTAATTATACTACTAATGCCTAGTCATTATTCTTATTCGTCTTCTCCCTCTCCTTTATCCCAACTATTTGGAGATCCCTTGTTCTAAGCCTCGACACGATCTCCCGCGTAATCTTCGCATATCCCAGCATTCCTCATATCATTATGAATCCCATCTAACCGCCTTTTTACGGTCTTCCTCTTTCCCTAATTTCTAATTCTCTTTTCCTAATACGGTTTTATCCATTACCATTCTTACTGCTTCCGTTTCCTCGCTCCTCGTTATACGCCCAATGGCTCAGTCTATTCGCTCTCAATTGATCCCCTATCGAAGCCACGCATTTACCCTATATCTTTTCTCGTCACTCCACTCATTCTGTTAAATAAAATATTAAAATATTAAAAATACTCTACACCAAAATGACATACTTTAGTCTTTAAAATAGCATAAAACCATTAAATATAATTAAAAAACTATATTATGGTGCTCACCGAAGACTGAAAAAAGTTACTTTACACTTATAAAGTATGTCATGTTGTGGTAAAGGTTGTTATTATTATTTTGTTTGACTGTAGGCTTGATATACACTAGACAATTTTTCGCTCGAGTTATTTCTACAATATATTATTATTTAGTTACTGCATATCTGCATCAACTGTGCATAAGAGTGTAAGTCGATTTCAGTGATTTTACAAGGGAGCGATTTTAAACTGACCAGCTGCCATAATAATCAGCATGTAATAATCAGTAACTCACATCTCAAGTCTCAAGGTTTTTTTGTTGGTCCAACGAGTTAGACATTTATTCAAGTTGTGCTAGACGCCTCGGACTACATCCTAGCGTACTTAGTCCATTTTGACCAAAATTCGACATACACACTTACACAGTTGTTACAGATATTATCTCACTTTAAAAAACCAATAGTTATTTGGTGACTGCTGCTGACAAAAGGGAATTGTTAATTTTCATTGAAACTGAATTATTCTATAAATATGTACGTGCAACTTTTTTATAGTTGGCGTATTAAAGCTAGTTTGAACAGTATATTAAATAATTAAAAATTATATTAAATAACATACAAATAATACCCATGTTGAAATGTACAAATTACAATTATGTGTATGATCAGTGCAAACAATAGAAAGTATATAAAAAATATGTTTAATATAGGCATTATTTATTCTATTACATTATGTACGATCATTCTACTAATTTATAAAGTTCCAATATCAATCAAATATAACTAATTATTTTTTTAAAACAATATAAAAAAATGCAATTCTAAAAGCTTTGTCAAAATTCAAATGTATAGTCAATTCTTTTAATGCCACTTAATAAATTATGATTCATATTGCTTATATTTAAACATAACAATTGACATAAGGAGAAAATATTTAAACTCTATTTATATAAAAACTTTAGAACTCTCTGGGTTTGTTTACTACTACCTTCCTGTAATTAATTTTACCCCCGTTAATACTATTTCTTATTTTTGCGATAAGGAAAGCCTTTCTTTTTTTTAATTAATAACATAACATAAGAATATTTGTTTAAAATCTAAGAAACTAACCCAAAAACCCTTGCGGTTTCCATCAAAATATATATATTTAGTTTAAGCTGATTATGTAATTTATGTTCTACGTTGCGTTTAAAGTTACAAAACGACATTAACCCTATGCTACCACCCCGTTATACGATTTATCGTCGTTTCCAAGTTCGAGAGATTTTTTCATGTCACTTTAACGGGTTGAAAAAAGTAAACTATTCAACGTTAGTGGAAACTTAACAAAACAGTGTCGTAGTTTTGACATCATCTTGAGAAATCTTGAATTTAAATTGTTGTAGTCTGCCCAGCCATTAATTATAAAAGCGTTCTTTATTGATAAATAATAACTAAAAATATTATTTAGTTTCTTAGTTATCCCTAATAATTGTTGCCACTACGCGTTACATTCTTTGATATACATATACCGTAATTATAAATAAATATATACATATTTTATTAACTTTTTAAATTAAGAATAATTTAATGAAAATTGATTGGTCGATAAC